GATTTATAATCTAATTTCAATAGATGATTGTGATAATTGTTAAGAGAATCTAGAATTTGAGAGTAAAATTATGAATTAAATTGGTCTTGATTGCTAAATTTTCCGATTAGAGTATTGGGATGAATGTCTCTAATTGTGTCATCAATTTGNAAATGAGAAAATTTTCCGGTTTCTTTGTTTGATTGAAATACGTATGGAAACCTAATTTTCCACCATATTTAAGCCCCAAAACGTTCAAGAACGCCGACGATTCATCTCCTATCGTTTTCGCTCAAGTTTGGCTCAAAAACTCTATGGAAGGCTAAAGAAATTGGTGAAGCAACGGAGGAACTCATTCGGATTCGATGATTTCACGTCGTTTATTCATACTTTTTGGTATTTATTTTACCAAACACTTTAGATCTAGATTTTCATCTTTATGAGTTAATTGTGAAATTGATTTAACATGTATTAAGTTTTTTCATAGAATCAATCTCGTTTTTTCTATCAAACAATTGAACTATGTGTTGAATTTCTAATTCATTAAATCTATTGGTGTGGTTATCTTCTTTCTTATGTTATATGTATATGAATGATTTATAATCTAATTTTAATAAATTATTGTGATAATTGTTAAGAGAATCTAGAATTTGAGAGTAAAATTATGAATTAAATTGGTCTTGATTGCTAAATTTTCCGATTAGAGTACTGGGATGAATGTCTCTAATTGTGTCATCAATTTGAATAAACGATGTTGAATGATCTGATCTGAATTAGGGAATTCCGATACTTCACTACCTTAAATCACTGAATTTTATCTCACATTTTATGATATTAATTTAAATGATCAACAATTCAACTCTCCCGCAAATTTAAGAGGACAATTCACCCCATTTGGAACCTTTGACAACCTTTCCATCTCCCTGTGGATACGACACCCCAAAGCTACATTACAACAACACGTAAATCTTTGGGCGTAATCAAATTTTGGAGGTGACTTTTGAAATGTGAGAAACTAGAGTTGTTTGTGAGGTTTATCGAAGATAATTGTGATTTGCAACTTTCTTTGCCACTGCAAACCTTTTTGTGCTAGTGTTTTTGGAACTTTATCTAACTAGGGATGCTCGGCCTGTAAGTAGGCTAATTGGTTGAACATCAGGCCTTAGGGTGAAAGTCTATTGTTCTTTTAATTTCTGAACTTAATTTTTGCGTTTGACTGATGCACCCTTATTAACTGGATGCATATCGGTCCCTCGAAGAAACTCTATCAACACAGTTTATATGTGTTGGATTAATCAAGCCAAAGGACTCAAATTGGGCCATATTACTATTATAATTCCAGCATTCGTATGTTGCTATGATGACTCGAAGCCTTTGATGGTGGGTGGAATTTAGCATGCCATTTAGGAAGTTGGTACACACTCCTAACTTTAGAGTGTCTTTAGTGCACTTAGCCTTTGATGGTGGGTGGGAGTAGTGACCTAGCCGTGGCCGCCACCAGGGATGGACCCAACACAAAAGTTCAGCCTGGACGGACGTTAACCATTGACCGTTGACAATCAACGATCGTATAAATGATGTCGTTTATTAATATTTAATTAAATAATATTGAAAATAAGACTAAACTTAAAAAAATTTACATACAAGTAAGTTTATTTAGGTAAAAAAGCAATTTTAAAATAAATATTATGTTGCTCGTACTAAAACTGACATTAAATATTACAAGAACAAGTAATAGATGTCAATATTAAAATTACAAAATCACCACTCCAAAAGAAAGATATTCTAAAAGAGCTCAAAAAAGGGAATGAATAACGAGTACACTGTCTTCCTCACTCTCTCCATCACCACATTTCCTTCTTTAAAAAAAACCCTCCACACTCTTCGTTCAAACTCAATACTTCACACAACTTCCCTCATTCTCCTAAGTCCTAAATCCTCATCTTTGTCAACAAAATTTTTACAAGAAATCACAATATCTATCTCAAAATCCTCAAATAACCCCTTCAATCTCTTTGAACCTATTCTTACAGAAACTAGTTTTGCATTATTACAATGTACAATATAATACATCTATTTCTTTATCAACTAAAAGAAAAGGTAGGAAAAAAAGAACCAGGAACAGGAAGGCTTACTGGTGGGTGGTAGCAAATAGCGGCGACAATTGGCAGCACAGCAAGTCAGCAATTGACAGGCAGTGGCGCCGACAGCAGAGCAGGGATAACTGAGAAGGAGAATTACGAAGACGAGAAATGAAGGAAGAAGGGAAGGGTTTGGATATTATTTCATTTTATTAAAGGCCCAACTATCTCAGCCTAAAATAATGGCCAAAACTATATAAAAAAAAAAAACGGCCCTCCTGTGTCTTCTTTTCTTCCGACTTCTCTGTTCTTTCTCTACAACAGTGCCATGGCAGTGTCGACGGTATTGATGACTCCAGCGGATCCAGCATGGGCGGCTGCGCCCCCTCGCCGGGTGCTGGTTCCGTCCCTGGCCGCCAAATTGTTTGGCTTGTGATGGAGGGCACAGAAAACTGATCATTTTGAAGAAGAGGTTGAAGAGGAGAAAAAAGGATGTTGAAACAATAACCTTGGAAGACCTGTTAAAGGGGGAAACAAAGCATGCACGCTCACACACAAGATGTATAAATGTGTTTTTGAATTGTGATATTGGAAATTCAAAGCGGAGGAATTACAAAAATGAATTTTTCTTCTAAGAGAAATTAGAGAAAACCATATGAAGATCCATGTGAGGTGATTGGAAGTGGAAAATAACTAAGTCAATTAGCTGGCTTCGCAGCTAGGAAGATGGGCTTAATGGACACATACAGTTTGTAATTTTCTGCATTATTAGAGGAGTTGTCAACTTGGAATTTGATACTTGTTGATTATTTATTGGTCTCACTGTTTCACGTTGGTGNAAAAGAAACCCTGCTCTAGCTAGGGAAAAGGCACTGCCATTAGTTTATTAGGTTTTTTTTTTGGCATAATTAATTATTTATCATTCATATATAATTGAACTTTTAAATCGTTTCTTCTTTACAATTATAGAATATTTCAATCCACCTTGTTAAATATGTGTTTCGTTTCACAGAATATAATAAATCCAAGTCTTCTTTCAATCTCTGAAAGAAGGCCACCTCCCTATCCCCTCATACATTCAAGTAATTATCTTGTTTTCTCTCATATCCTATAGGATAAAATACATAAAAATACCAATTACTATTTCAATTAAGGTTAATAATATTTGTTATGCCAATATTTTTCATTAAATTCTATGACAAAAATAGGGGACACCACCTGTTTATTGCTGCGTCATTATTGAAGCACGACCATGTGAATTCTGTGTTTTCTTTTACAATATACCTGAAAATATGCTAAAATGCCACCGATGTCATGTCTTGGCATAAGTAGGTTTTCTCTACGATTGTCATTTTGTGCAATAGTCACTATATATAGATGCAAAGAGTCAATCTACCAATCTCCATAATGTGTTAGTTCGAATAATTTAATTCGAGTGATCATCGGCATTTGATAAATCTTACAATGATTTTCATGAATTTCGAATGTCAAATTCCCATCTCCAATTGTTTGACGAACTAGTATATAGTTGGTAACTATTGATGAAGTTGCAACTTTTTTTTCAAAATCTACTTCCGTCATAAATTACAAATAGTAAATTTTGTTGGAAATTTTTCGTGCATTTACCAACGAAATTGTCTTTTGAAAAATTAGTTTATGTTTTTTATTTTTCAATAATTGATTATACTTTAATCTTTGCTTTCTAAAAATAACAGAAACATCATTCGTTGCTAGTTCATTGGTAATCCGTTTCTGTGGTGGACGAAAAGTGCTAATATTTTTCACTATTGTTACACATTATAGTATTGTTATTAGATGGATTTCCTAAAAAAATAACAAAACTTGTTAGAAAAGTAACATTTGTCCATGCTTTTTTCTTATTCAAAAAAATCATTTAAAGAAGTGTCAAAATTGTTATATAAAAAAGGAAATGAAGAAAGGGAATTGAGAGAATCACCGTTTATTCATATTTCATTATGGACCCATACATGTAAGGTTCCAACAAGAGTTACAAACGTCTCAAAATTCATATTTTTAGAATGTGTGAGACTATATTGTAATGTATCACGATAAGATAACTATTCATAGTTTAAAATACTTCCTTTTCTTGACTATTACACAGCAACTATCTCAACAAATATCATGTTTGACAAAAATTCAAGTGAGACAATAATATCAAAAGAATAGAAAAATATGCAATTAATTTTTAAAATTTTAGAGTATAAAAGAAATGCCTGGTTAAAACCTTGCCATGAAAATACAACTACTTCCCTCGTATTGATCATTTTAGATATTTAAGTTGGCTCATTCCAATTTCTTGAATATAAGATGTCAACAATGCTTTTATGATTAAGCCCCCGTTTGGTAGAGATTAAAATCAATTTTTTAGTAGACTTTCATAAAAATTGATGAAATGTGTGGTTGAAAAGCTGTGAGTCTCATGAAATGAGTGGTTAAAATTAATTGTTGATTTTAACTTGAAATTTTAATTGGATTTTAATCCAAACCAGACCAGACAGTGGCTAACTCAATCGCATTATCACTTGAGTGAATTTGTTGAAAATTGATATCACCATTATTATAAAGTTCACGAGCTTAGACATGATGGGTCATATTATCAATCATATGAATTATCTACTAACTTCATTGATTTCTGACTTGATTGCGTATGATAATTTGATACATCCACAGATTTAGGCTTCAGCAAAGAACATGGAAATTTGAATATCCTAATTCACATGCATCCAAAAGTTTGCCTCTTGCCAGCTAAAATCCTTGGAGCACCCATGAGTGCATTTAGTTATTTTATTACATATGTTCACATCAATATTGAAAAATCAACCCTCTTCTCCCCTATAAAAATCCATTCCTCACAACCAAATCATCCACTCCAAAACCATTTCTCTTTGACAAACAGTCAAGAATTAGGGTTATTGTGAAATGGCTTCCAATAGCAATACGTCAATTGCCCTTTTTCTAGTCCTAAATCTTCTCTTCTTCACTCTTACTAGTGCATGTGGCACTTGCCCTGGTCCTAAACCAAGGCCAAACCCAAACCCAAACCCAAATCCAAGCCCAAGCCCCGGAAAGGCCACTTGCCCTAGGGATGCCCTAAAATTGGGGGTATGTGCTAATCTTCTTGGTGGATTGATTGGTGTTACTATTGGGACACCACCGAAAACTCCATGCTGCACCCTTATCGAAGGCCTTGCTGACCTCGAGGCTGCGGTCTGCCTTTGCACTGCGATTAAAGCCAATATTTTGGGCATTAACCTTAATGTTCCTCTCTCCCTTAGCTTGCTTCTTAATGTCTGCTCCAAGAAGGTCCCATCAGGTTTCATATGTGCCTAAACAAACTTATTTTGGCTCTTATTTTCTCAGACATCTGAATTTGTACTTTTAAGATTATTGCATTCTTGTGTTTGGTAATATCTGGTACCCTTTTTAGCAAATAAGAAAGAAATGTCTCCTGTGATGTGAGAATAGCTTGTAATTTGCATATTTTACTTATCCAAAATGTTTCCACTATTCATTTTATATCAGTTTATTGTTATCAAGAAGCAATAATCATGAGCTTCTCTCTTGATCTCTAAATGATATTACGGTTATTTGAATGCAAGCCAATTGAATTCAATATTTAGAAATCATCAAATGCTTATATGTCAATTCAATTGTCCAGAAATTGAAAAGTTCTCAAAGTCTATTTGATGATAATATACAATGACAAAAGAAAAAAAATAAAAAAATAGGATGTGGTTGAATTACACATGTAAAGTTGCTTGCAAGAATTCCATTCATTGGCCATGAGAATTTTGAAGAATCTCTATGACAATGTTCTTTGCAGAACGGTACAGCCCATGATTCCAAGAATTTGTTGAATGCAATGTATATTCACGTGCAAATGGAAGAAAAAGAAGCCTCAATTCCTATCACTAATTTATTTTAGACCAAGATTCCCTACTTAAATCTATCTCTTTCTACATAACAAGATAATTGGGTTGAATCACTTTTATTCAATTAAAAATTTGCGGACTTCTTTAGTTAGCAATTCAATCAAAATGGAAATATTTTTATTCTCACAACGAATAGTCGATTTTGTTTTTAGATTTCTTCCAGAGTCTTTTCAATTTTGTTGTCCATTGAAAAAAAGGTCAATGCAGCGGTTACGGTTTGAACAAGTTGATCTTTGAAGTTAAAATTAAAATCAATCTCGTACGTGACAGACTTGACGTTAAAGTTCAACTATTATAGAAAATGATAAAATGTCCTTTTTATTTTCTTTCGAAAGAGTGATGATTGTTTTTTTGTTTTTTTTTACTTACGTATCCACCGTGTTTGCCACATAATGAAAAGTCATAATTTTCTCTTACACACGAAGGACATCCATAAAATTCCATGCACTCTCATCAATTGAGATCTTTCCACTGTTAAACAGGGACCAGAATTTTTTCAGGAAGGAAATTGATTAACCTCATTAAATTCTCGTGCTGATGTTTGGATAAAAAATTGTGCAGCTTGATCATTGCAAATGGATACAAAACCCTGCACAGTCGATCTTCAATCAACTAGACCAAGTGATTAGTGATATCTAACTAAAGATGATTTAACACTACAAAAATCGTTGATTCAAAATTTGAAATTGTTGGGTTTGATACCCAATGAATCATGGGCTATGATGTAAACGTTGGATTAAATTGTTACCAACAACCAAATCCAAAGGCTCAATTAGAAAATGACTTAAACAATTAATGTTGCTCATGATTTATATATATTACGGAAAAATTCGTATTTATATCATTATAAAATATTATTTCATATTTTACTATGCTATGTTAATAAAAGAAAAAATACTGGTTTACATATAAAATATATCTAAAAATACTAACTTCTATAAATATACACAAACAACATTTTGTAACTGAAATATTTGTATTGAATCCAGCAAAGATTATGCCTCTCATTTAATGACTTCCAAAATTAGACAAAGTAATTCGAAAATTGAAGACGGGCAAAGACAATCAATTTTTTAGACTTAATTTTCTTTTGTCAGATTTCCATTTTTCAAAAACTGATGAACTCGAGTTGCAATTACAATTTTTTATCAGATTTTTTCCAGTTATCATAGTATCCTAGATTATATATTAGCTATCAGGCAAACACATATAAATCAAAACATAAACTTGAGAAGAATATCATCCCCATATATAATATGTACATGATGTAAAAAAGTTCTCTGCGAATAAATTACGTAGCTTCAAACATATTCACACTAACAACAAGTGCAGCTCAATAGCCATGTCACATATCCAAACTAAACATGCTACTGCTATCATTAGTTGAAAATAGAATTGTTAGCCATATTTATATGAAATGTCACATTATCTAGGAATGAGGTTTATATGAATTTGCATAAATAAAATTCTCCAAGATAGATAAACAAGAAGAAGAGACTTAGACCACGGATATAAGACAAATATCATAAATAAAATTCTCCAAGATATATAAACAAGAAGAAGAGACTTAGACCACGGATATAAGACAAATATATTAAAACCTCTAACCACTCAACAATGTAAGTCAAGAAAATCCAGTCTTTCAGAGCGAAATATGATGATCATAATTGGGTGACTGCCCAATTATTTTGACGGGCAGGGAAGAATTTGTGTACCTGGGCAAATGTCCGGGTTTTGCCTGGGAGATCGCCAGGCCAATACTCAGTCGGAATGCTGTTTTCGTTTTGAATTCTATTCCAATAGGAATTCTTTCTTTTGGGCCATTATTTGCACGAATTGTAGATACTTTTGGGACTTCTTAGAGAGTACTATAAATACCAACTATCAACTCTAAATAGGGGTTGGAGAATTGACTGTAAAAAGAGGTGAATAACACATCAAGATCAACTCCAAGAATTTCAAGATTGAATTCAAGAATTTGTGGGCGATGAACACTTATATTTTTTGCTTCCTAGTGCTAGGGTTACAATAAATCTTGTATCATGAACCTTTAATTCTTAATTTTTCTTTTTGACATTCAATCACGTTTTCAATTATTAAACGATTTTCATGGAATTATCTTCTTTACAATTATGTGCACAATGATTGTATGAATATTGTGACTTGTTTTATCTTTAAAAGATGGAAAATATGTTAGACATACTGTTAATCGTTTACCTTGGCACTAATTCAAACCTTTTGCTTTTTTTTTTCTATGCTATCAATTTATTTCAATACTTCTATTTCTCTCGTTCAGGCATTTTATTCGAAATTCGAGAGATGGTGAACTGATACCAACTAATCTAGAAATCGAATGCACCTTTCACCTTAGGCAAGGAGAAGCACAACACAGAGATGGCTAATGCACAAATAATCCGATTATCCAACTAAATGAAGAGGCAATGGTCAGTGAAGGGAATATGCTAGTTGGTGACTTTATGACTCCACACTTTAAATATCAAGGGGTTTCTGATGATGCTGCCAGATTGAGATTATTTCCACATACTCTATATGATAGAGCCCTTGAATAGTTAGACTCACATCCTATTGCCAGTATCACTACTTGGCTAAAAAAGGTTGCCCAAAATTCTTCCCATCAACCAAGTTAGTAAAGTTAAAGCATGACATATCCATATTTTATCAAGGAGAAACCGAATCTTTTGATGAGGCTTAGAGCAGACTCAAGAACATGCTTCGAAAGTATCATCATCACAACAATATTAATGGGCTCCAGGTCCAAAAGCATAGTGGACTCATAATCAAATGGCTCCTTATCCACGAAGATAATCGATGAAGCTTTGGAGTTATTTGAGAGTGAATGCTACTATAAGCATGTGGGCCACTGAATGGGTTGTTCACAAAAAGGCACCAGGAGTGTATGAGGTGGATACTTATACATAAACAACCTTTTATCCCTATCATATACACCCGGAACAACAATCTGCCATTAAAGCCAATGTTTTGGGCATTGACCTTAATGTTCCTCTGTCCCTTAGCCTACTTCTTAATGTCTGCTCCAAGAAGGCCCCCTCAGGTTTCATATATATATATATATATATATATATATATATATATATATATATATATATTTGACTTTTAGAAATGAGACTAAGAACATTAGAATTTTTTTGATAGTGTTGTGCTTAATATTAAGAGAGTAATTGAAGAATTGAAGAAAAAATAGGATTTGGGGCGGGAAAGGTTTTTTGCCATCCCTAACGGAGGGATGCATG